AATAAAATTGAATTGAATTGAACTTGAACACCAACCACTCACATTTTTAAAGAATGTGTCATATAACAGCAGAGTCCACTACACCTCTGCACTGAGTTAACAATTATAGTTTTTCTTGCTCTGCTGGGAGAGTTTTCCTAAAACTTCATGCTAATATTTTTAGGCTGTTCCATGAGCTCTCTGAGACCTGTGTGAATAAAGGTCCCAGTTTGTTTGCTGTCTATATTGTGGAGGGTTTTGCTGAGGGGTGTGTTTATATGTTATCTACAGGATGGCAGAAAACTGACTTTTCAGACTGTTCACAGTATTTATGTAAATCTGTGGCTGATTTTAAAAAAAAAACCATCAGTAGAAACCTTTGATCTAATGTCCCAATAAAGAAACAAAAGGAAATAAAGGAGAGAATTTTGAGCCTGGTTTTATCCAGTTCACGTGAAAATATTTCAGCAGATAAAGGAGCCTGTTTAAATGTCACTTTTCAGAAAAACTTTACAAATGTTGAGGTAGGCTCAAGCTTTTTGCAGAGTACTGTGGAGGTTTTTACTGAATGCTGTGGTCCCCCGTGTTGGTTACACAAAAAGCCTTTGTGTAAGAGAAATGCAGCTGCAGTTCTGCCTTTGAACAGCAGGTGGCATCTGTGCGTAATCACAGTGGTGTGTTTTCCTTCCTATGATGATGCAGCACAAACATTTACATGTTATGTGAACACATACACAGTTTTTATGACTTTTGATTTTAGTTATTTGCTTTCGGTTAATATTTTGCTTCTCTTCCTTAAAGGGAATTGAATCTGGTTTTGCTGAGAGCAAAGAATGAGCTACTGCACAGCTGAAGTGAATTCCTTCTGTTGCCTCTTCTGAAGAAAAGCAAGAGCAGCAGAGCTGTGCAGGCACAGAGCAGCTGGTGAAATAAGGCCTGTGGACACACAACACTAAAGGCCTGTTTACTATAAAGGAATGCGGTTAGCAGTTGTCAGGGTGACTGGCCGGCCATGAAGCGAGGTCTCGGAAACAAACAGGAAGTAAAATGAGAACTGAGAACTGCAACTGAAACTGAAAGGGCAGTTAGTGCTCTGGCTCAACTGAATGAGCTGTGTGTGTAAAACAAAGCAAACATCTGCTGCTCTGACAAAAAAAACCTAAACCACAACACACAGAGTATTTTCCACTCAGAACACACTCTGCCTGTTACTCGCATGCAGTCATTGCATGTCCCTACTTGCACAAGTCAGCAGCAAAGCTTTAATTCTTATCTCAGAAGCTGAGCTCGGAGCCAACTTTGGCTCTGCCTTTTTTTGGTTACTGAGGAAAGTCCTCACTTTCAGAGGACTTTGTTTTTACTGGACGCTCTTATCTTAACAGCAATAAATATTTACAGGGCCTGTGTCTGGGAAGCTATAAAAACTGGACTCTGAGCTCTGTGATAAACTTTCAGCAGTTTAAATTTCTTTTACAGGTCTTGAATGAGGCCAAACAGCCTATATAAATACAAAAAAAGTCTTTATTCAGATTTACATGGTGATTCACATGAAGTCATAATGTACAGACAAGAAACAGTGGTGACAGGTTGTGGTGAAAGCTTCTTTGCTGCATTGCAAGAAGCAGAACAATGATCTGGGTTTTTTTTTTTCCTTTCTTTCTCTCGTTTGAACTCACGGTTGCCCTTTATGGTAATAAGCTAAGTGCAAAAGAATAAGACACACCTCTGCTTTGAGTTATCAGTGGCTCTGAATCACATGAAAGCATAAAAATAAACAAACGAAAAGATGAGCAAAACGCACAATACCATGCCATCAACACTCACTGCTGACTTTTTGGTCGTAACGACATTGCGAGAGCAGAAATAAACACGACAGAAAAGTGCACTTTGGGTACTTAAACCTGGTCAGGTTGTTGTTTTGTTTTTGTTAAGGCAATACAAAAAAGGGAAGTGATGTCAGACCAGAAGACAAACTGGAGCTAGAGAATGGAAAGATCATTATAAAAACAGCAGTCCAGTTAATATGGCACATTCACATGTCTCAAACAATTCATCGCGACTGCTATGCATCTTTATTCTGCCTTTGAAGGGTGCGACCAAATGGCTGAAAATTACAATTTTAAAAGCCCACAAGGTTCAAAATAAAAAGATATGTTTGTTATGGCTGTAGGAAAAAAAGAGAGTGATAAGTAGTAATAAAAGGCTTTAAATGTCACCCTTGAACTGAAGACTGTCATTGTGAGTTTGTGGCGCTCTGGCAATAAAGGCACATCAAAGATTTGCTATCGAGGAAGGCCAGAGCTCTGTGATTCAGCGAGAACCATAAATAAATTCACCACGATCGTTAACGTGCGTCCAGTGTTAAAATTCTCCAGGAGTTTGGTTTAGAAAATAAAAAGCATAACAAGTCTCCTACTTTCCCTACTGTTTTCCTACTTGAGCTCTGCTGAGCTGTGCTTTAGCCTGCTAGCTGCCAACACATCTTGCACACTGAAAACATACTCCCCGCAGCCTGCGAGTCAGGGGCTGGTGATTCTCCACGGGACTTGATATAAACAGCTGGGATTGCAGTTCATCCTTCTGTCGGCTTTTTGCATTCCAGCAGCTCGGAGTCATTGTGTTACAGGTTGTGGGGAGTACGATGTGCAGACTACTGTTAACGCAGTCAGGCTAGTGTTGGGCATCACAGGAAAACAGGACGGAGCTGTGCACTGGAATGCTGAGGAGGTCATTCACTCAGCTTAATAGGCTCATGTTCAGCTCCATCTTTTTATCCTTGTACTCTATGAGTAACTTGGCATGATTCATAGTTTAATTCATAGATTAAAATAATCTTTTCTCTTGGTGCAGCCCCTCAGTTTACGCTCTTCCTATGATTTGTACTTAACAGGTCTGCTTTAAGAAACTCCTCCAACACAAGGAATTCAAACCTTTGCAGTGCCGACCACTTCCTCATCCCTCCATGCTTCCTGTGGCAGTGCTACCTGCCTCCCTGCGTGTGTCAGCAGCAGGCTAAAGGACACATAGTTTGAATCCAGCTATGCTATCAAAAGGCACACGCAATCAATAACAGCTATCCCACCCCCACACCCCACTCTCTCTCACACACACTCACACACCCCAACACACATGTACACAACAGTGCTGTCTGTAAGGTGCTGAAGCAGCGTGCAGGCATACACAAGAATCAGCTATTTACATTATTAATACCAGTAGGGAGGTGTGTGTGTGTTGTTGAGTACTTTGTCCTGAGGTCGACAGACAGACAGACAGACACACACCTGCAGGGCCTCACGGTGATTGTCGTCCTCTACACAGATAAAAACAGGCCGGTGATTTACGCCTGCTTCGCCAAAACAGAAGAATTTTCGAGTCACTGCTTATGAACACAAGCGGTCTAACCATGTGTCCCCAGCAGAGCCTTTCATGGCAACACTTGAGCTCACACTGTCTAAGATAAGGACATGATAATGACTGCTGACTGGAAACTGTGCACATCTTAAAATCACAACACAGCGGATGAATAAGATGATGCAAACATAAAGACTTTACTTGGGCATGGCGCCCATTTGGCTACATATTTTAGCTTTTTAAATGTTTATTTTTTTATTTACCATTTTTGCTTTTTGCTTCGTGCTTGGCAGGCATCCTGCCCTCAAACACCAGCTCCACTCCCTTGGAGTTAACGGACTTTAAACAAAGAACAAACCTATTCATATACACAATAAAATCTTGAAGAACTTCTGAGAAGTAAAAGCTAATTTTGCTTTCAAAGGTAAAAGTAGTGAAATTCCTTCACTGGCGTTTACTCAAGTGTTACCACAAAGCAGCGGGGAAAACAATCAACCAGCGACACACAGTGTCCATGGCTGAGCACATGGTGTTTTGCAGTGGTATGCTACGGTGCACTTGCTCCTAAATTTGATACTGCACATAGGTCTGCAAGTCCTCCACACATTGAACTTAAGTTTTACATCAGGAAGACATGCAGGAAGTAGAAAGTGACCTTAAGTGCTCATCACTTTGTGCACAAGTCAATGATTTCCTCAAATGAAAGGAAAGAAAACAGAGAAAATGTTGGCCCAGACAGATATTAGGAAAAATCTAATTTTTGGAGGTTTGTCCCTTTTTAGGCCCCACATGGCTCTGACGGAGAAAACAAACATCTTCTGTCTTTCATATGGACTGGATGCAGTGATGCTACTCCCACGTGTTAGGTCAAGAGGAAGTGATGTCAGAGGTTTTCATAATGACACTTGCGCGCACTTCATGTGTGTGAGTGCCTGGCGTGGACACGAGAGAGTTCTGGTTGTAGGTCGGCGTCCAGCCATCGGTGTGGTAGCTGATGAGCGGGGAAGGGTCTCGTGTGCTCGTCACCTTGAAGTTGGGCTTGGTTGTACTGACGAACGTTGCCATGCCAGGAAGAGAACACGGGGGAATCCTGAGAACTGATGTGCTGTAGTCCCGCCTCCAGGCAGCACCGATACCCTGGAAGACAAAAGAAGAAAGTGATGTAGGAATACGATGATAATTTTTGGAAATTTAAGAAATAATGTAAAGGGCAAACACCTACAACGCTCTATATTACAAGTTTGTCTGTGAAGGTTCTCAGTCACCCAGATCATCGTAGTCTAAGGAGCTTGGAAAGAAAAGCATCTGGACTTCTGTAAGTTGCTTGAAGACGTTTCACCTCTAATCCCAGAAGCTTCTTCAGTTGAAACGTCAAATTGTGGACAGTCCCAGATTTAAGCCCTGTGGGGGTGGCCTCCCTAGAGGGACATGGACCCCCTAATGATCTTCTACCTAATCACACAAGCCAAAAAGGAAATCACATGACAGGGTGGAGCTAGGTTTCACAGCAGGTTCACCTGAAACCTTGGCCCATTGCGACCTCCACCCGTTTTCACACCTTGGTTCGTGTGATTAGGTGGAGGATCAATAGGGGATCCATGTCCCTCTTGGTGGGACACTCCCACAGGCCTTAAATCTGAGACTCTTCCACCATTTGACCAATTTAAACAAGTCCAGAGGCTTTTCTTTCCAAGCTCCTTAGCCTGCTTTACAAGACACACATTCATATAATATCGGGGCTGCTGTAGCTGAGGAGACAGAGCAGGTCAAATAACAGCTGGAAGGTTGGTGGTTTGATCCCTGGCTCCTCCAGCCTGCATGCCAGAGTATTCTTGGGCAAGATACTGAACCCCAAGTTGCTCTCTGATGCGAGTGTGAATGTTTGATAGAAAGCACTTAGACCTAGTAAGAAGGGCTGGAGTAGAGTGCCATTTATCAAACAGCACTCTATTGAATGCACTTGCTGTGCCTCGCATAAATTACAATTAGCACTTAACCTGACATGCATGTTTTTGGGCGGTGGGAACAAGCCGGTATACCTGCTGGAAACCCACAGAAAGGCCCGAGTTGGGATTTGAACCACGAGCCTCATTGTTGTGAGTTGACAGTGCTAATACCAACGCTTCCTGCTGTATTTGTTGCTACAAAGGTTAAACATGGAACCATTGAAAATGTGACCTGTCTGGGAGTGTGTGCGTATGATTACGCATGCACATGACAAGTAAGACATATGGACTGTATGGCAGTCACGTACAGGCCTGCATACAGGTGATTTTACGATAAACGCCTGTTATAAATAATGTGTTTGGTTCTCAAAGGAGCATAAATTTGTTTCATGTGATTAGAAAATAAACCTTAAGTCTTGTGACAGAAATCTGCTGGTTTGGTTTAGTTATTAATCTCTAACTGTTATTTTTTCTTTATTTGTTTTTGTTCTGTTTTATTCTTTAACTGTCTGACTTTATATAAAAAGGTTCCATATTATTGTGAGCCAAAACACATGTGTAAGTATTTGTGTGGTTTGCACTGTGTGTGTGTGTGTGTGTGTGTGTGTGTGTGTGTGTGTGTAGATTAGACTACAAAGGACAGCTTCATATCAAACTGTTAATATTTGAAAGCAGCAGTTCCTGACAAGACCCTCCCATTTCTCACTCTCACTTAACATTACAGGAACATTACGCACACACACACACACACACACACACACACACACACACAC